CCGGGGTAGAAGAGGGAGGAAGGGAAAGGCGGGCAGACTCGGAGGGTTCAGTCCCTGCAGCGCATCTCGCCAGAGTTCGGCTCTCTCTTCCTGCGGGGTCAGTTTTCTGATCCGGCCTGCCTCCTGGGGTTCTTAGCTGTCTTCGTGCCCCTTCTTTGGGCTTTATTAATAAAGAGGTTTCCCTCTGAAGGCAGATTGCCCACGCCCAAGGGTGGATTTGGGAGAATTCTTCCCTTGTCGCTTCTCCACTGGTGGAGATGGGCTGCTCTAAAGTTTAGGGCCCAGAACAACCATCTCTTTCTTCTGGGTTTCACTTTGTTTTTTGGTGCTTTTGAGTCAGTGTTGACTCCTGGCAAGTGCCTGGACCAGTCCCTGCAGTTTTCTTGGCAAGGTTTTTCCGAGCGGTTTTCCATTGCCTGCTTCCTAGGGCTGCAAGTGAGCGGCTGGCCCAAGTCCCCCGGTTGGCACTGTGCATGAGGTAGGACTAGAATTCATGGTCTCCCGGTTTCTAGCCAGGTGCCTTAACCACTATGCCAAGCTGGCTCTTCTCCTGTGCTGTTATGTTATTCCCCTGCTGTGCTTCTACTGATACAGGTCCAGGCGCCCCTCTTGCAGACCATCACTGAACATCTGGATGGAAGGAGGGGGATGTCGAACTCCTCTCAGAAGCTGCTCTCGCAGGGGATCTCCCAGTCAGACTCGAGTCAGGACACTTCTCCAGGTAAGGGAAGGGTCTTCCAAGCCGTGTGACGTTCCACAGAGAGATTCCAGCTTGCTCTCATTCTCTGGGACCACTTGTGTATGATTGATTGATTGATTGATTGATTATGTGGCATCTAGTCGTCGTCAACTCTTAGGGACCACATAGATACGTTTCTCCAAGATGATCTGCCCCTAACCTGGTCTTTTGTATCTTCCAGTGGTCGTGTGTATGATACACCGCAGTGAGATGGGCAGTGACAAATTTGAAACATAAATAAATAAAGTAAATAAATATCTCCCTGTATTTTGGGGGAAAGCCTGCTTCCACCACTTTTATCTTCTTCGCAGAGAATGGAATGACATCCCTGACATTTGTAGGATTGCCTCCTTTTTCTGATGAAAGCGAAAGAGCGCCTGATCCTCCAACTCAGGTAGGAAAAGAGAAGACATAGAGAACCATTTGGAAATGTCCTATTTTGTTTTGTGGCCCAGTCTGTTAATATCGCTGTCGCGGAGCAACATGCAATGGAGACGTTGGGATCAATTATACCCAGCTTACCTACTGTTCAAGATTGTTGCAGAGAATAAAATATATACACTGAGCAATTCTTGTTAAACAATTGAATTAATCTTTTCAAAACTTCATGACTTTCTCCTCTTCTGCATGAGGTAGTTTACAATAAAATGTAAAGACACCCTCAGCTCCTGGTTCTTTCATCTACTCCGATTTCTTAGCACCATTACGGACATGGCTTGCCTTTGGTTTTCCTGGGATTTTTAAAAAAATTATTATTATTTCCCAGTTTATCCAATTACCTTGGAATTTCCAGGCAGTCCACATAAGCAGTGCTAATTAGGACTGATGCTATATGGCTTCCAGCATCGACTAAGGCTTTCCATCTGCTGAGTTTATAAGAACAGAGTTTATAAGAATATATTTTATTGATTGATTGATTGATTGAATTTTTCAACCACCCATCTCCCCCCAATGGGGGAACTCTGGGCGATTCACAACAAACATT